ACACACACCCACCCACCTTCCAGGTCCAGCACAGAAAACTGCTATACTGCTATGCAGGCAGATCTAAGCAGAAACAGTTATTCATGGAAGTCAAAAGTTTTAGGACAAGAATTTCCAATGTTTAATAGCAAATGAATGAAACCATACTATAACCAGTAACAGGTTTACATGCATAAAAGAATGTTTTCTTTTAGCACAGGAAATGCAATATTTTAAACAAGTTCGTTCCTCTTAACAGGATGGCTTAAATTTAAAATCCGTCATTCATGGAGGATAGAGCTGCTGTTCACCAACACAAAAATTATGTAACCTGGCAATTAAACAAGAAATCCAAGGAGTACAGAACAAAGATGCTTAATCAAAGAAGAAAACTGAAGGGTTCTTCTCTAAAATTAAACAGTGGGGTAATAGATTTGAAGAAGGAATATTCACTTTCACTTGGTCAAAAGGGTCACAATGGAACTCACAAGAAGATCAAGTTCACTGGGAACTGTTCTTAATTTGGCACCAAGAATAAGAACTTCAAAACTTACAAGCATCAGTTTTTAGTAGTTTTTGAAGGACTAGCACTAGAAAGACTGCTCTGAATTTTCCTTTTGGTTGACTGATTAACACTCTTATTTTTCTTTTCAGGAATGAAGGAAGCTGCCCAAGGAGACTGAAGTGGATTATGCACATCAGGAGACACCTTAAAAAAAGAGGAACCAAACTTCTGTTCTTCAAATAACCTTTGTGAATTACTGAACAGAATACTTGGAGAAAATTCTCTTTGAAACAAACAATTCTGAGATTTCGTTTCAGCAGTTTCAGAATTTTGGCTTGAAAACAGTCGGAAGCGCTCATTCAGGTGTAGTCCAGATGGAGAAAGGACAGAAAACATAGCCGATTTCCAGTCATTTCTGTCTGCTGGCTGGTCATTTGACTCCAGGCATTTTGAACTCTTTTGTTCATTCCTTTCTTCCAGCTTCATATCTGTTTCATTCATAAGTTCAGAACTCTCCGTCGACTCTGAAGGATTATCAAGGTCAGAGGATTTAAAATTGTAGCAAGGACTCCTGCTGTTGTCAGATTCAGACATCATAGAGTCCAACTCAGAGATTTTATCAAGATAGGCAGCATCCATGGATGCCTCACTGGATGTTCGTGTGCGGTTCATTTCAGAAGAGGAAATAGTATGTAACCTTTTAGATAAGCACACACTTGTCTTCTCAATGGACTTTACTGGTAGCTTTCCTGAATGATTAGTGATTATATTTTGCTGGGAGGCATCAAAATCTAAGTTCTCAGTGTAGTTTGTTGGGCAGCTATCCCAAAACACTGGTTTTGTTGAAGTAAAACAGGTTAGCTTATTTTCATTGTTACAGCTGCTTACACTGTCCTCTGGAGAAGCTTTGTTGCAGTCCTCTGGAGCATCACACAAATCCTCAAATTCCAATTTCCTTAGGAAGGCAGGTGGCTTTCTTGTGTCCTCTTGTTTTATAACAGGACTTTCTTTAACGTCAGGGGTGTTCAAATGGAGACAACTAAGAGACAAAGAAGGTGTACAAGGTGCTGGAAGCTCATATATTTCTTCATCTTTATAAGCTTCACGATCCTCAATTTTCTCCCACTGTTGCTCTAAGTCAGCATCTGTATTTGTAGTAGCTATAGCCAAGAGAACTTCCTGACAACCTGAAAACAGTTCTTTATTTGTGGGACACTGAGTGTTTGACCCATCCAAACTGTCTTGACTAGCAGAGGTTGAGCATGCTCCACAATCTCTCAGTCGCTCAGGCTGGTCCTGATTTTGACTGGTAGTCAGAGTCTTTTCCTCTAGGCTTTCTACTTGGCTTTTTAATGAGGCAGCATCATCCTCACTGCTTTCACTTCCTTTATCATCCGTGGAAAGTACTCCCTCACTAACAATATTCTCACTTTGGTTAGTCTCACTTGGCCCTTTTAGTTGTGAAAGATGACACTCCAGTTCTTCTATATATTTATCACTCCTTTCTAGTGCTTTTTTCAAACGATTCATTTCACGTTCACACTGCTCTACTCTGGACTGAAGTGCAGCTACTGTAAACCGACCAAATCTGCAAGAAATGGAGAGAAAAAAAAAAACACATTAAATTCTTTTGTTTCTTTCTGGGATTAGATTAGGAAATTACTGAGCAAACACTGTTAATTTGAAAATTAAAAGCAGATTCCTTTTCAGCATTGTAGTTATCTGTTAGTTATGGAAAACAACATACGTGGAGGTGAATACATGAAAAGCCACATACGACTTCAAAATTAAACTATCAGTAATAGTGAGGCAATAACAAGTAGAAGATTACCCTTCAAGGGGCTGGATCTATCAATGCAACTCAAATATGCATGAAGAATTATCCCCTAAAACAATGGCAAAGATTTATGATAACATTTGAACAGTGGTCCACATCTTGAAATATTTACATTCAATCATTTTCCTACAGTACAGCAGTGTTTTACAATACATTTCCTATACAATGTCACCTTGTCAAATATAAAATGCCAATATGAAATTCAGAAATTGTAACAGTCCTTAGAGGTGGTTTTAAATACTTATTTGGACCATTTCAATTATATTCATCTTAGATATACAGCTTTTCTTTGGCCTTCACATGGGCTGTGATTTAACTCATTTCAGAGCTACTTGTTTTCTAGGTTTTACTGTTCTAACAATCTAATTACTTTCTGAAATCCAATACATTAGATTGCTGCTTGCAGTTTGGAAAAATTGCACGTAACATGTTTGCATGACTCCTAGCTTGAAAAAATATGCTCAACTACAAAGTTAACAGGAAATACAAAACCTCTTTCCCCCTCCCTCCCCCCTTCCCCCCCATCCAACTGTTTTTCAAGCCTGACCTTTCCCAGAGGGCAAGTGAAGGTTTCAGCTATATGCCCTAACTAATGCTAACTTGACACTGAGAGGTAGGCACCAGGGAATTTTCTATTCTACCTGCAACTTTCAATTTACAGAAAGAAAAAAAAATTAAGTTCTGGTATTAAGGGAGGAGGGAGGGGTGGTCCTCCACCCACTTTGACATCAATGGGAAGTCATCCTCCTAGAGAGAAACAAGTTGTTTTCTTGGCTTACTGGGTTCTCATGCTATGGACAGTACAGATTTGCACCGAGTCGCATTAAAAAGCCCCAAAACAGTGTCAAAGTGGTTCTCTTCTGGGGTGCTCTCCACAGCCACAAAGACTACCCCCAACCCAAATTTTTTGCTCTTCAGCCCCCAACCGTGAGACCTTCCCTTCACCACCCTCAGGCCAATGCGGTCTGAATGTAGCTGGACCTACAGCCTGTGAATAAATATTTCTGAAACAGCCAGAGGGATTGCTACTGAGCAAAATATGCTTTTTCAGTAGAGGGCTGAGCCCTGAGTGTTAGGCAATCTTTTTTCTGTAGGTGCTGTATGTGCACAACTGCAACTGAGGCCAAACAGGAGCTGAGACAATCAGCATCCCTGAAGGAGTTGGGTGCTTGGGTTAGCTTAATCTTCCATTTGAATGGGAGGCTGTACAAGAGCTGGGAAGCAATGGTTTGCCCACTTAACAAGTTTCAGCACAAAAGAACAAATGGAGTAAATTCTCCATTCTGAATTATGCATTACCTTGAGATTATGGACCAACACCCCTTCTTTTGCGTTAATGGGGAACAGTCAACCTAGAAATCAGAATCAGTGCCTATTTTTAATAGACTGTTGTGCCAAATAGACCCTGAATTAGCATAAGGGAAAGTTTTATGAATCCTCTCTTCATTTGCTTATCTGGTAGATAATCTATTTAATCATTTCCCATACTGGAATGGGAGTTTCATATAGCAGTAAGCAAGAGGGACAAGTGAGGGGGAAGAAAAGTAAAGAAAAGAAAAAAAGCACTGTGAAACCTTCACATTTCCAGGACACTCAGTCCAAGGACCTGAAACTCTTTTTCCACTTTTTTTAAACTGATTAGATTTCTGATTTACTATACCATTCAAATACAATATGCTAACACATTTTAGCATGCTTTCTTCATCATTTCAAGATCAAAACTGAGTTATATTAAACACAACCAGAGCAAGTTAAATCAACACTGCAGAAGTCAGGGAAATCTTTCCCCCCAGTTCCTAAGGCAGGTAGACTGTGATGTGCTTTATTTTGCCTTCCTCTGAAGAATCAGGTATAGGTCACTGTTTAAAAAGGTATTATACCAGATAAGTCTTAACTTGTTAAGCACTGTCAGATTTGCCACATAAGATATTAAGAAGGGAATGAACAAAAAGAGAGAGAGAGAGAGAGAAAAGAAGAAAGAGAAGAGAGATCTGAGGCCTGATTAGCTTAAAAGCCACGTGTAATCAGCTTTAGAGAAGTGAAAAATGTGTATGCAAAGTAAGCAAAATTTTCTAGAGCTTGTTGTAACAGACACTTTGACATAAAAATTAAACATGTTTTACATTTATATGCATACCTAGCAATTTTTTTAATGGAAGAACTGTGTAATATGTTTATTTAATGCAAATAGCATTAGTGACAGCCTTAGATTTGCTTACCAAGAAGCAGCACTGTATTCTCAAGTGCAACTTCTATAAAAAAAAGTGTCCTCAGGTAAAAAAGCAAAAACTGAAATGCGTCATTCAAGACCACGCAGCATTACTAATATGTTAATTATCGTAATGGATGTGCCTGGGAATTTTGTTTTTAGAAGAAAGTCTTACATACTGCCTAGAAATAGTTATGGTCATAATGAAGCATTGAAAGCATCCTTTTGCAAGACTTGCATACTTTAAAAAAAACCCAACAAATTTTCAAAGACACAATCATTCATTTTTAGGCTTAAAATATTTAAATTGTAATATGATCGTCAATTACTCCAGGCCAAGAAAACCTTGGTGTTGTTTAAGCAATTAGACCTGTATGTAAATGTTTTCTAATGTGTCATTTGACATGTTGGTTAAAAGGAGCTGTAAGAAAAAAAAAATTACATTGGATAGAGTTCACCAGAAAGTTGGGGTCTGAACTAACTAACTAAAAGGAGAATCTGACATTTGAAAAGCTAAATTAGCTTGCCATCTCTCAAGATAGCTTCAGATGCTTCCAAGAGAATTGGTTTCAAGGTTGAGGGTATAATGGGTTCATCAGAGACCTGAAGATACACAAACATGTGAATTTTAGAGCAAGCTTCTTATAATGCTGCTTGCTCTAGCAGTAAAATTTATTTTAATATGTTTAAAAAATGTGTTATAATATAAAATACAGAAACACGTCATTATGGTGGCTCAGATTTATCCTTTAACTCCAGTGAGCATAGAAGGTCAAAAGCCCTGAAGGCTAATGTACACATTCATACCTACATCTCCCAAACATAATAGTCACTATCCCATAGGTTCTCAGTTCAGACTGTTTTATTCACAAACAATACTTCAATTTGAACCTGGCAGCTAGAAGTTTGCAGCCAGCTCTTTCTTACCTCCGCAATGAAATACCACTCCAATTGTAAGCATTTCTATCAAGTAATAAAGAAATGACACATCCCCTTGATGCCAAATTGAACAATGTTGCCAGTCATACTTAAATCAAAGGGCAATTTCTACTCTGAAAACTGACAATTTAAAACTAGCAACACTTTGGGGTCCCATACTTGTCATCTCTCAGAACCACCAGATCAAATTTGTTTTGAAGTGGAAAAAAACATTCTTTTCCAACTACCAACCCTGCAGGAAATAGGCCAAGTTTAGTGGTTCCCAACCTTTTTATACCACAGCCTGGCAGGAGTGGGAAAGGACGCAGGGAGCCATCTGCCTCTCTCCCAGGGCTCCCCCACCGCCCAGCTTTAACCCCAGAAACTCAGCTGTGACCCCAGAAGCTGCTCACTCGGGTGGACAGACGGGGGTCTGAGCGAGGGGTTGTGCCACGACCCAGCAGCCAACCCGCCATGGCCCACTGGTTGGGAACCTCTGGCTTAGGCCACTGGTGCTCAACTATATGAGTGTAAGGCCTAGATGGGTGGGCTAGATTGAATCTAGCACATGGAGCCAGGTCCATGAACTGGGACCATGCCCTGGGTCCAGTTATGGACCAGGACCACATTCTGGCTCAATCCAGAACATGGGGCCATGTCATCTAGCCTGTGGGACTCCCAATGGGTCCAAAAATTTAGTGGTAGGGAGCAGTGGCAGCGTTAACTAGTATAGGGCTTCTGGAACTATGGCCATTGACCCGGCTAAAATTTCTGGGCCAGATGACAACTCTCTGGGCCAGGCTGGGTCTATGGGTTATACTCTGAGCATCATTATAGCTTAGGCTATTTCCTTCTCACACATCACCAACAGTCAAAGCAGTATCGTAGCATAAATTATGTCCTCAACTCCACACGTTGAATTTTAAAATGATGTACATATTCACAAACAAAGAGTTATGTTCTACCTAAATGGCATACTCTTTGTATTTTACCTGCATTACACTACACTACAGTAAGATCAAAGTTTTGATTTAGGAGGTGATCAAGAGAAGCATTTCTTTTGTTCTATTATCCAAAGTACTGTGTTAGTTTTGGACACCACACTTCCAGAAAGATGCAAACAAGTTAATAAGAGACGAGTGGAAGGCAACAAACATTTCAGAGGCCTGCGAATCACGATTTATGAGAAAATAGTGAAAGAACTGTGATTATTTAGTCTCGAGAATAGAAGAAATATTTAATAAAAGTCCTTAAATGCCTTAAAAGGTAGTTTATAGAGGACGGTGACAGAACATTTACTGGGGCTGCATGGGACAGGATAGAGTAGCAATTGTCTTAAATTGCAACAAGAGAAATACAGGTTGAAGATTTGGAAGAACTTTCTAATTATGAGAGTGGTCAAGCGTAGGAACAGACTACCTAGACAGGCTGTGGATCTCCATCCTTAGATGTTTAAGGGCAGATTAGACAAAACTCTAATCTAGCATGGTTTAGACTAGGGATGTAAATACTGATTTTAAAAACAACAACAACAGACATATCCATTTACCCTGTTGTAATTACAATGATTAAACGATTCATTGGTATGGCAACCTCTGCCTGACCCACTTGGGGCTACTCTGGC